TTCATTCATTCATTCATTCATTCATTCATTTATTTATTTATTTATTTATTTATTTATTTATAAGATTTAGTCACTGCCCATCTCACTCAATGAGTAACTCTGGGCAGTTTACAATAAAACAAGAAGAAATACTATTTAAAACAGATTAAAAACAGTGTACATAAATAAATAATGTATTCCAAGGAATTGATGGTAAATGAAAATTATTAATCTACAGGAACTTCTTCAGGGTGCCAGCCACCCCCAGGTTGGTTGTCCCTTCTCATGTCCCACACGAATTGGCAGAGCCAGGTCTTCACCCCTTTCCAGAAGGCTGGGAGAGTGGGGGCCCACCTCATCTCTTTAACAGCTTTATACTGTAGGTCAACACCAGCACCTTAAAAATTAGACCCAGAAACCAATTCACATCCAATTCAGGGTCTGCAAAACTGGTGTATGGTGCTCTCAATGCTGGGAGCCCAAAAGGAACCACTGAATTTGTACTTTCCAAATATTCTTTAAAGGCAGCCCCAAATAAAGCACATTACAGTAGTCTGACTAGGTGGTAATTAAGGCATGAGTCACTGTAGCCAGGTCCTATATTATAATTTTTTCTTAGAATCCTCCTTTTCTTTAAATGCTTGGCACCAAATTACACTTAGTATTGCTCAGCATGAATCTTCTTAGCACAAAAGTATTATGCAGCAGGTGAAGATAAGCCTGCTCCAATTAGGTTTTGAACTGTGGATTTGCAAAATAAGTCAGTGAATTGTTTTCTTCAGAGGTATTGTATCAGGAGGTTGTCCATTACTACGTTTCCTTCTTCACAAGACTGCTTTCATGGTCTTTTTCCCAGTCTGAATACCTTATAGCATTAATTGGCAAAATAAGTTTAATTTTATATTTGAAAGGGAATCTTAATTCCTCTTTTCTGCCTCCCCAAAGTCTATAAAGTAATATCTTCTCCATATCCACTTCTGTGTTGAGGAATAAGTTGAAGCAGGAGGAAAATAACTTCTAAATGGGCACGCAATTACATGCCATCAGAAAATAATCTAGACTTTATTTTCAAGCTTCATAGAAAAATGAATCATGAAATCTTACTACACTTCTTACTTGAAGTTTTCTTTTTCCCTTTAGTACTTTATTTACCCTTCCCAAGGAAGTTTTTTCAGATAGGTTGGAGCAGCAGCTGGACTCAATAATTTTTTAACATGCAAACCCCAGGGCTTTCAAGTGCGAAGGTGGGCAGTATGTGAGTTTTTAATATACATTTACCAGAAGTTAATGAACAAGTCTGCAGCCTTCAGGGCCTTGAGTTATGTTGTCGTTAATATTATTTAATATTAATGCAGCTCTTCCCTTCCTTGAGACAACATGTGACCCCCTCCTGAACATTTTTAATTACTAAGTTACTACAAGGCATACTTAAAATATGCAGCGGTGACCTGCTGAGAATGATTAAATTTGAACGTTAGAAAAACCAAAGCATTAAAAGCAGTTCAGAAATTTAACAATTATGTTAACTACAATGTCCACCATATCTGTGGTGAGATCATCCACGATCCTTTGTTATTTTCTTGCCATCAGCAGAATGGCTGTTAGGAAAGACTGCTCTCATCTGACCCTTCTCCAAATACCTTGTGTACAATAATTAGATAATGTACTATACTGTTCTATTTCATGAGGTAGTTATGGATTACTCCTTCACAGAATTTATTTTCCCCAATGGCTATTTCATTGAGTATTTTTAGGTAGAAATGTATTTATTTATTTAGGTCTCAGTTCACTATAATAAAATCACAATATAATAATTACCATCGTACATTACACCATCTATCCATAAATGGCAAAGAGCACATACAGGAAAAATTCACAACTTCAATCCAAAAATACCCAGAAAGTAGACTTAAAAACACCATTTCTTTGGAGCTGGGTGATGAGAAGGCTTGTAAAAAAATGTAGTCCATATTAGTGTATGTGCACCTTCTACAGAGACACAGCAGATTTTCTGAACATGAAAGCTTGAAAAGTGGCAACTGAGTTTATAGACCTGATTGCTGCTGTCCATATATAAGGAGCACATTCACTTCAACATTAGTGCTATGCTGAAAAGAATTGTATTTCTCCTACCATTTCTCATTAAATTTGATGTAAGAAAATTTGCTTTCAAAATTCCTTTCAAAGGATAAGACATTTTCATTCACAGACATTATTATGGACTATGTATGATACTGTTATAGCCACATACAGTATCTATTAACTTAATGCATGTATAGCCTGTCTTTTCTCTGAGAACTCAGCATTGTTACCTGGGGATACCTCAATGGTCTCTTCACAAAACCAACCCTATGAGTTCAGTTGGGCAGAGACAGAGACTGCTTGATTGATCCAAAGTTATCCTATGAGTTCTGTGAATGAGTAGGAACATCCAATCTGGGGGAAGGATCCAGATCTTGGGCCATTCCCTATGTAAAGGAATGATGGTTTGTTCCTATCCTATCACACATATCAAGATGCTATCAGGCTTCTGTGAAGCAGTTTGGATTCACCATGACAAAGAGCTTTGCACTCACAGCCATCTTATAGCTTCCTCCACTACTTGCAAAAGCTGGAATAGGGTTCTGGGTATCTGCAATACCTATGCAGAAGCCCCTTCCAAGAACTGCAAGTGCAAGAAGAAGCTGTAGAAGAGGTAAGCAAATCAATCCTGCTGTTAGATTTGCTCCGATAAATGAGGGCCTCACATTGCTTTGGAAAGCACCTCTGCATTGTTTCTTCATGAAAGTAAAGTACCCTGTTGAAGATCTGCACATACCTCAAACGTATCATGAAAAAGTAGAAAATATGGATGGTGCCGTGTGTAATTAACCCACTGCTTCATCTTGAAGAAAATGTTACAAAGGACAAATATTGTTTCAGGGTTGTATACAATATCCTTGTTTTTTTTAAGGGAAAGTCATCCTAGCTTACTTTGGCTGTGGTTCAAGAGGCAGCAGGTTCTAGTTTAAATGTTATCAGTATTATGAACTATCCTAATTAGAAGCACTAGAGAGCAGTTAATGGTCAGGACTGGGCTTCCTCTTAAGATATTTGCCTGTTCTAACTCTCTCCCTTACCAGAAACAGAATTCTTGGCATGGAAGGAAACACATGGAAAAATGTGTAAATGAGGAGATAGGATGGAAATATACCCTCTGTTCCTTCTTTTCTTACTTGTGCACTACTCTTGCACATCTGGCTTAGACCTATTATGTGTTTTCCCTCATACTAGATATGGACCAGGAAGCCCTGATGTTAATCTCTATGGAACTAACCAACTTATGCCATAGCCCTTGGCAAGTCAGTATCTCTCAGCCTAATCCACCTCACTAGGCTATTTTAAGAATAGCATTCTTTATGTATTTCTCTTTTCTCCATGGAAGGAAGATGAGATAAATGTAGGCAGCGGTGGTGGTGGTGGTGGTGGTGGTGGTGGTTGTTTTTATTATTATTATTATTATTATTATTATTATTATTATTATTATTATTATTATTTTCTTAGTGACTATGGTTATGAAAGACACAGTAATAATCAATGCATCCCAGCATTCTGGTTCAACCTTCTCCATGGAAGGAAGATGAGATAAATGTAGGCAGCGGTGGTGGTGGTGGTGGAGGCGGTGGCGGTTGTTTTTATTATTTTTAATATTATTATTATTATTATTATTATTATTATTATTATTATTATTATTATTATTATTTTCTTAGTGACTATGGTTATGAAAGACACAGTAATAATCAATGCATCCCAGCATTCTGGTTCAACCCATCTTCTAGGCTGAAAGAATGCAGCCTTGGCCAGAGCTACTTGAACAGCACTGGGTAAGTAGAAAACTTTATTTGATATCTGGCTCTTCTCCAGAGCTTACAGCTGGTATTTAGTCTATCATTTGCAGAAATCCTGCAAATAAAAAAAAAAAATGAACATAAATTAGATGCATTCTGTTCTTTCTAGACGTGGGCTGCATTTTGCCTTTAAGTAGCATACTGGAAAATGCAGGTCAAAAGATAGGAGAGGGCAAGATACAGAAATGAGCAAGGCCGGGATAAAAGCTAAATTTGTTTTATTTAAGTTACATTTCAATTTAATTCCAGTTGTTAAATGATTAATATGATTTATTCCATGTAATTAATATTTTCCCTTTCTGTTACATTAAAATTATAACTCAGGAACAACTTTTAGAGAGCCTCTGGTACCGACATCATAATTTCCTGGGGGCCACATGCAACTTTGAGGGGTGGACGTGACACAATTTTGACAGAAGTGATGCTACAGAAAGTAAAGCTGAATTAAATCCTCTCCAGATGGAAGTTAATGGCACAACACAATAGTAATACACAATACTAGTAATACACAATACTAGTAATACACAATAGTAATACACAATACTAGCAGAAATAAGAAAGATCTGCTTATAAACTATTATTTTAAAAAAGAGCCTGTTTATTTTACGAGAAATGTGTGGAGGTAGAATTCTTTTATTTAGGACTGTTTCTAAACCTTTCCTTTCTTTCTAAAGAGAACATATGCCAACTTTCAGCTTCCTCTGTGTTCTGTTCAGAAGGTACAGGGGCAGATTCATACTGTGGCTCCACTGTTAATGCTATTTCAGCTTTGTGCTAAATTTCCAATGGGCCATAAATCTTAAACACTTACTGCTTTACTGAATGCTTTACTGCAAATGAGCAGACCAGCACTATTGCACAATACTGATAGACCACTTATTAAATTTGCTGGCTGCTGATGGCTTTCACCATTCCACAGAGGATGTAAAATGTTGACATCCATTATTCATATAGTGAGTAGATATATGCTTGTAGCAGGAAACTGTTTGCACATAGCTAGAGCAGGGCTGTCAGAGGAACACAAAAGGAATCCCCATGCTTAAAGCCCCCTCCATCCCCTCCACCCGATTTGTCAATCTTGTGCAAATTCAGAGTCATCGACATAGAACTTCTGTGTTCAGCTTTTCAGTGTTCAGATAAAAGCAGAAAGATGGTAGGAAAGGATAATCAGGAACCAGACTGAAGGAATATACCTGCATCAACCTGAAATAGCCAATAAATGCCTTTATGGTTCCACCCATCACGTGTCACTTGTCTTTGCTTCTGGCGTTATGAGCGGTGAAGCATAACATTGGATGCTTTCGGCTGAAAGGGAAAATACTCTTTTAATACCAGTTAACCTAAGAATAACTTAAATCTGTCCCACTAACTACTAGGTACAAGATGAAGGCAACCTCATGAGGACACAAAATAAAATAAATGCATATTTGTGCCAGGTTTAGTTCAGATAGAGCCACAAACATATTATATTGGTGGAAGGGAAGCAGTATAACTTTTGTTAAAACTTAGTGAAATATACAGTAAGCTCATTTGTCTCCTATTTTTCTTTCTTTCATTTTTAAAGTACAGTAATGCAAAGGTAATACCTCACTAAAGGTATGGTGAGATGACATCATAAAGAGGGGATAAGGGATATGAAAGTAGGTGACCATCTAGTGAAATGCAGCTGAATGAACTTTGCCACTTGAATAGCACCAGAAGTTCTTTTCAGATGTTTGAGATGACTGCTGCTGACAATATAGGTTTCCTTTCCATTTCTTCAAGCTGGATGCATATGGTGTCAAATTTGAGTTCTGTCAAATTTTAAAACATGAAATTATAAAATTCCACAGGTATCGGAGGATTGTTTCTAATAACTGCACAGATGGTTTGCAGGAAAAATATGCAGCCAAGCCTGAACAGTGCCCAGGCAAAGCTCCTCGTGGGCTACATATTCTCACATCCACTGGCAAGTTGGTTACAGAACAAGGTTACAACACTACCTTCATAATTCTTATGGAAGAGGTAAGATCATTGCTCAGTATAGATAATGGTATATCCAGTAGAGGAATTGTTGTAATCCAAAGATACATAATAGAAAAGAAAATAGAAAAATGCAGCCCAGAAGTTGGAATGGGTGTACAGTTCAAAGAAGCTTTCTTAATGCATGTGTTCTATTGCAAAATAGGACTGGTGATTTGAAAGTCCAAACTCCAACTTCTAATTTAGATTAAAAGAATTTCAGCAGCAGCTGTTCTATTGATGCAATGTTTCTTCTCTGTATCTATCTATGGTGCAAAGCTTTCTATGAATGCTTGTATGTAGGAATTCAGAAAAGAACAGATGTACTATACAAATTAGGAAGGCAATAGCTGTTTATTAAAGATCCTGAACAGACGTTCACACATAATGAACAAAACACAAAAAGGCAATAACACTGCAGGTGAGACAAACAAAAAATGAACAGACAGTGATAGAAAACTGAGGGCATGAGATTGTGTATGAGGATCCTCTGCAGGGTAAAGGAGACAGGAATACGACTTCAATTGTTTTCACTTGCCTCCACTGGGATATGTGTACCATGAAGATTGGTTAGGCATGTCCCCCAGTGACTTACAGCATCTTCTACAGTCATCCAGCATTTCTCATGCTGAATTTACAGTAGTGAGGACAGGTTTATTTTGTGTTAATGATAGCTGATGGGTAGAGCTAAGTCACCAGGGAGGAAATAGTCTTACTTTTCCCAATTTTGGTGTCTCTTTTCCTGCTTTCCTGTGTGCTGCAGTAATTATTGCATTGTTCTGTTTGTTCCTTTGCTTGTTTTATTTTAAAAAGACTTATGTTTTTGTTTATTTTCTCATAAAAGTAAACTCAGCTATTAGAAGATTCATGCTGATTCCTGTCTCACTGATTTTGTCAGCTGTCGGCTTTAATTTTAGAAGCAAACTGCTCATTAAAGAGAGTGCTCCAGTATGGTTTGTAGGTCTAAGAAAGTGACAGTTAGGATTAGGAATTTGGCTCCCAGTAAGATTTCTGTGTGGCAGTCTTGACTGACACATCCCTTACCCCCACCCCATGCACACTCATTGGTGTTTGCTCCAGGAACAAAGCTTCTATGGTTTGCCAGACTGCCTTTCCCTGTGGGTGCTGCCTGTTCCATCAGGTCAAACAAGGGGGGATGTTCCAGGTCCCTTCTCTCAAATGTTACCATCTAGCAGGACCTAAGACGTGTGCCTTTTATGTAGCAGCCCCTGCCTCTGGAACATTTCCTATCAAGCTGATGGCAAGCTTTGCTTTAAGTGTAATAATTTGTACCTGCGATGCATCCCTTAGAATATTATCTATCCAACATTTAGAACTACCGTATTTACACCCACGTGCATGTTATACTGACCTCACATTTATGTAGGAAGATAATTCTGAAAAGGCCACTGTCAAATTGTTGTGCCACCCTTGTCTTGTAAAGCACCAGAAACAAGCATGCATCAAAAGTTGTGCCACATTAGCTAATGTAATTGTATCTTTGTTGGAGGATGGGTGGACGTTATGGGTAAAGGTTGAATATCAGCATGGAAGTGGGGAGAAGCAAATCAACCATTCAGACACATATAACAAGCGCCAACACCTTTCAGCATTGTGTCTGTAAATAAAACGCCTATGAAATTATGCCAGGCCTGTAAGTAACTCTTGAAGCTTGGCTCTGAAAATGAATATATATTGACTAATCTCACAAGTGTCTAAATGGAAAATTACTGTAAAGTAGTTTTTATTCTACTTAGCCCTTTCTCTTTAATATATAGAAATAATAGATTTTATATTCAGATGGCAAAATCATTATTTTTATGTTTTATGAATTGCTTACTAAAGCTATGCAGTTACATGGGGGAAAATGCTTTGTGAATTGTTAAAAGCTTGGCCCCTATATTGAATGCCTACGTCACTGGGTTTACACTTACAGGAAGCACAAAGGTGCTTATTTATTACATAGGCTGCTATCCTTCTGATTTTCCAAGGTGCCTTGTAAGTAACATGACTTTCTCATGTACTCACTATCAGGTGTCAACTATATTCAGTTTCCAAACTTTTTGGCATACATTATCACATTTCCATTTGATATTTTATAGGACCTACACCATATAAAATCGGGATCTGTTGCAGATATCCAGAGAATGGTGATAGTTATCCATTTGAAATGTCTCCACTTCATTTCCACTGCAATTTATATTCATAAACTAGGGACAGCTGACATAGCATGTGTGGTGAATGATACACTTTTTACTATTTTATATACTGGAAACATAGTTAAAGAAAAGGGATTAGGAGATCACCGCAATGCGGAAAAAGCTAGTAAAAAGATGAGATAAGTTTTGCTGCTGTTTAGAGATGAGAACACAATTCCTTTGTGCTTAAAAACAAAAATAAAAACATGACTAGAACATTTGCATTCTGAACTGTAAATTAATAAATAAACTCCTTATTAACTATGATTTGCCTGGTTATTACTTTAAAAAAAAAATAAGCTAGTGCCAAGAAGAGAATTCTTGCCTTGCTCATCCTTTGACTGAAGAAGAGACACTTCATTTAATTTCTATTTGATTTGTTTCAAACTTCTGGTTTAAAAAGATAATCAAAAAGCATTGGGGATAAATACTTTGACTTTGGTGATGTGTGTACTAAATAACTCCTTTAGGGCCCTTTTGATCTTTCTGTTTTCTCTGGCCCAAGTTTGTTTTGTCATGAAGACTGTTTCTTTGGAGAAAACACTGTCACTCATGCTGGGGTGAGGGAGTCAGTCTCTGGAAAAGTAGTTGTTAGTTTATGTTATGGCTATGAGGAAATGCTGTTCTTGGCATTTCTCCCTTTGACTAGTGATTAGCCTATACTATGAGACACATAATCTAAGCTACAGCAGCATTAAGTCTTCTCAACTTTTCAACATATAACACTTCTGTCTTCTTGATAGCTTCATTTCCTCTTTTGAAGATGCAGACAATTCTGAAATGCCATCTTCTTTAGGGACTTGGAGACATAGTTTAAAAGCACAATTAACTTTTTAAAAGGCCACCACTATCTATTAAATGCAACTTTAAAAGTCCTTAAGTAATTAAGGCTAAGTTGTGGTAAATCCAAATGCCTTAAGGTGAGCAACCCCTTTGGTGCTACTATACGTAGAGTTTACTGCATTTACCAAATGACAGTAGGTTTATTATTCAGAGTCAGATTAATCACTTATGCATCACTGCTTCCCTCAAAAGACAAAAAAGCCAGAGATCCACATAATGGCCATGTGCTAAATTAAATGTTTTCATGCACATTTAAAAATAATTACTATCTATTTAAATAAAAATGTAATACACCTATCCATAAAGGGGAAAATTATCTAACAGACTTGTGCATCTGTTCAGCTTGCTGTTTTTGAACAATTTCAGAGTTCTTGCTCCTTCTCCTAGTTCTTTATCCTCAAACCAGACTTAGGCTGGACTTCAAATAGCAGCTACAAATAGAGGACTGTCCTTATTAAAGTAGAGTAGAATACTAGACTAATATGTTGGAGCACTATGCTTTCGGGAATCAGAGTGCTCCAACACATTTCTCCCATTAGATAATAAATTATCTTGTTACTTTCTGTTTTTTTTTAATCCAATATATATTTAATAAATAAATTCAATCTTTTAAGACCTGTCTATATATTGCTGACAAATCAGAGGGCTTTGCTCTGCTTGCCAGAGATTACACTTTGAACCTGCAGTTCTTCCTCTCGCTCTAGTTTTATATACATTGAAATGTGAAGTCATGAAACTGAGATGTTGCAACTTGCCTTTGCCTTCAAGGCCTATATCCCCATATTATTCCTTTTGATTGGCTGACAACCAAACCACTATTTTTTGATATATTGCCTATATCCAAACCATGAGTATTTCTGGTTGGGGTTGTCGTTGTTTTGGTAGCTCACTTATATTTGAAAAAGCACAGATAATTTTAGGGATGAAGCACTCATAATGTCAGATATCAACTTCCAGCTGAAAAATTTATGAAGCAGATCCTTCTATCAATTTCTGGCATGTATTCTGCTGCAGAAAAGAGAAAGTATGTTTGTCTTTGGACTTCTACTCCATAAATTTATGAGAAAATGAAACATGGTCATAGTACAGATTTTATTTTGGGAAGGCCTGGAATTTGCAGAATGCATTGCATCACTTTGTATAACAGGTGGAGGATTATTCATAGAATGATCCCCTGGAAAGAAAACAAAATTGATTCCAACAGGTAGAATCCAACAGCATAGTTAGAATTTCTTTCTCTTGTGCAAGTTGTATTATTATGGTTGGTCACACAGTCAGCCAGATGTTAAGACTGGATTTGGCATTTTTATCCTCCTATTGAGTCCTTCCCAAGTACCTGGGATAGGCAGATGTTCTTGTTTGATGGTGTTAAAGGTATCGCCACAGGATATAAGCTATTCCAAGTAAAGCTGCCTTTTGCAATT